GGTCAGTCTCTCTGAAAGTGAGAATCTTAATTTGCTGTTGTCCTACATCCAAGAACTATATTTGTCTATTTTTGAAAATTATACATTATTTTTAAGCAGGCACAGTGCTGGGATGGGGGAGTTGAAGCCCAGCGCCTTGATGAGTATGCAAAACAGCCCCATCCCAGTCATCACTTTGATCATTTGAGGAGCACAGAAGGGCAGGAAGCTCCTCCAGCTGTTGCAGAGGGGCTGTGTGGCCCTTAGGTGGTTAGCCAAGGGCCAATGCAGCCCCCAGGCCAAAAGAAAAGCTTGCCATACATACTGTATTTTTTGCTCTATAAGACTCACTTTTTCCCTCCTAAAAAGTAAGGGGAAATGTGTGTGCATCTTATGGAGCTGATGCAGGCTGCGCAGCTATCCCAGAAGCCAGAACAGCAAGAGGGACTGCTGCTTTCACTGCACGGTGGTCCCTCTTGCTGTTTTGGCTTCTGAGATTCAGAATATTTTTTTTCTTGTTTTCCTCCTCCAAAAACTAGGTGCGTCTTGTGGTCTGGTGCGTTTTATAGAGCGAAAAATACGGTACATGTGTTGAGTTGCTTCTTATGAGCCAACTAAACAGGCAGTTTTTCACAACCTGGTGGTAGTTGATTCCATAAAGTCAGAGTGAGTGTCCTGGACCCTCCACCTTCCTTCATTGCGCTTGTTGTCTGGTTGTGGCTTACAACAGTGTTGTGCATATGCAACACTGGGCGTGTCCATAATCAAATGCAACAGTCTCTAGGTAACATTAGTTTTCCAAAACTGTATGGATACCCAGAGTAGAACCATTGAAATTAATGGACATGGCTAACTTAGGTCCATTTCTTTCAGTGGAAGAACTTTCTGAGTAGAATACCCGTTGTATTTTTTACTCCCAGGTAGAGGTGCTTGTGGAATTCTCTGAACAAAATAACTTGGGCCATATTCACACCATACATTTAAAGGGCCACTTCAAACAGTCATGGCTTCCCCCAAAGAATCCTGGGAGCAGCTGTTTGTTGAGCAGCATGGCTTGTCTGTCAGCCAGCACGCCTCTCCTCCAACTGAGCTGTGATTGGATTGGAAAGTTGTTAGGAAACTCCTCACAGAGCTGCAGTTCCCAGCACCCTGAACAAACTACCATTGAAGCCATGACTGCTTAAAGTGGATCACAGTTCTTTAAATGAATGGAGCAGATGGTGCCGTAGATATTCCATTTTCAACAAACCAAATAGTTTGTTATCTCCTGTCACCTACATGTGCAATTTTCCTTCTTTTGGCAGGGAGCCGACAGTGCAGCAACATGCCAGGGAAGGAGACCCCATCCGGACAATGGGTGCCATCCGGAAAGAGAAGGACAACTTCAAAGTGCCAAAAGAGTGAAATCCCAGCCGCTTTCCTGCCCCCCCTTTTTTTTCCTTTTCCAAAGTTGATTTAGTTAAGGAAGATGAAGTTTCTCATTGCTCTGTTATGTTAAAAATAATTCATGTCTAAGGATCTTTTTTGTTTTTGTCTTAAAAGGAGGTGTAAACAAAGCACTTTGCTCTTATAGGAAATGTCCTATAAGCTATTTAAAAGATGTTTAAATTTTAATTTTTCTTGTATTCCTGGATTTGAACCACTGTGTAACAGTAAGTTTGTTTTCATTTTTTTATTTTTTGAGGGGTGCATGGAACTTGGGAGAGGAGTGACCTGGTTGTTTCATGGGTTATCAGGACAAAATTCAGATCAACTTTTTGCCCTCGCCTGTTTTGACTTCTGGGGAAATGTTTGCACCCTCTGCCTCAGATTGAAAAGTGGATCTGTTCTAATTTTATTTTATTTTTATTTTATCCATGCATCAGTTGCTTTGAAAACCCATTTTGTGAAAAATCCAGCTGGCTTTGTGAGGCTTGGAGCGAACCTTCTTGATTTCACTCACATTCCCAGCATCCATTTAAAGCTCCCTTATCCCTCATGGCTTCCCTCAAAGAATCCTAGGAACTGTAGTTGGTTAAGGCTGCCCAGGGTTATTAGGAGACCCCTCGCAGCATCCTTAACTAACAATAGTTCCCAAGATTATTTGGGGGAAGCCATGGCTGTTAAAGTGGAAAAGGTATGGTTTAAAAATGTGGTATGGATCCCCACATTGGCAGCATAACAGTATCCATTTCCCTTCCCCCATCATCCTGAGTTGTTGGTCCTGCTTGGAGTCCAGTAACATCTGGAGGGCCACTGGTTCCCCATCCTAGGCCATTTCAGCATGGGAACAGCTTAGGGCACAACCGAAAATCTGGGGGGGGGGGAGGAATGTAGTGTTGGCTGCAGATCTGTGGACTCTTCCATCTTGTAATGCCGCAGTTCTGCCACTTGGGGCCGATGAGAGGAAGAAGGGATGCTGAATGAGCACGCTTGAGTGTCCAGGGAGAAACCCCTGTGCGGACATGCCTCTAGCTAGCCAGCTGAGAGTACAGCAAGATTGTGCCCCTGCTTTTGAAGCAGCCATGGTACGTGCATGTTGTCCACGCTGAAGATTAGCTGTGTGCTGAGCCACCAGTGCAGACAGCGCAGCAGCAAAACATCAGCATGGAGCACGGCGGGAAATTGCCATTGGGGCAAATAACTAATCTGAACACATCTTTTTTGGCTGCATTGTTCTTTTGGATATGGCATCTAATGAAAAGCAGAATCAACAGATCAAGAGTTCTGACCACCCCACTCTCCCCCATCTCTCTTTTCTAAAAGAAAGCTGTGTTTTTTGACAGTGGTATCATTTTCTTTTGAGTGTGTCTACACTGCACTTTAAACAAAACAAAATCCCCAGACCTTTTTAATGGGTCTGTCTCTCAGTCAAGGAACTGTGGGAACTGGAAGTTAGTTGAGGAATCAGGAGACACTTCTACACAGTGTACTACAGCTCCCAGAGTTCTTTGCAGGAGGAACCAGTGACAATTAAAACGCCTTTGACAGCACTGTATACCTTTTTACGGCTCACGTTGGAGCCAAGAAACCCCTCTGGATGGACAACCCACTTGCCAGCACCCCTCAAACCGCACCCCCGTGTTCCTTGTTGATTCAGCTGACTCATGTGTACATACCTACATATGTGTATATACAGAAAACTAATATATTGCTATAAAAGAGATGAACTACTAGGATCAGAGTTAAGAGGTGTCACCAGTAACAGGCCAATTCATTTTAAAGCTGTTGCAGCTTCCAAGACCCCTCTCAGAACCCATGGAATTGGGGTCTCGTGAAAGCAGTGGGGCTCCCTCAGTGCAGTATTGAGATTCCAAGAAGCCAGGAATGTTGTAAAAAACAGTTTAAAAAAGAGTGTATTCCCCCCCCACACACACACACACCAGGAACTATGGAACTGGGGATAATTTAGAGGTGAGGGGGTCTTGCCTGCACCTTTCTAAAAGCCACTGTATAGTGGCTCCCCAATCTGGTACCCTCCATATGTTTTGGAGCACAACTCCCATTGGTCCCAGGTGACAACTGATGGGAGTTGTGGTCCAAAACATCTGGAAGGCACCAAGCAGTCTGCTTTAGCTACTGCTGCGACTGTGTGTGCCCACCAGCCATGAGTGGCTGATTGGCGCTGCCACAGCAAGAGAAACTACGTAGGCATGTTGCTCTTCTTTGCCCAGGAAGCATTAAAAAGAATGCTGCCATCTAGTGGTGTGGAGGTGTGCAGCTGCCTCAGGTGTAAGTTGTGTGGGAGCCTTTTATTTCAAATATTGACAATGGTGTTCTGCTGACAATAAACATCTCTTGCACTAAGCTGTGGTTCTGCCTCTTAATTCTTGGAGCCAAGACTTTCGCCACCAGCAAAGATAGGCTGATTGCAAGTGTCGGGAAGCAAATACATTTTCCCCTCTATCATAACACTAGAACTTGTGGACATCAAATGAAATAATGAAGTAAGTTCAGCATCCTGAACTTTTCAGAACTGGATCTGGATGAGTGCTTTTGTTTTAAATGAGAAACTCCATGAGGGCCTAATCACGGAGTTTCTGCTTCCAATTTAGCTGCACCCTTAAACTGCTTCTTCACAGACTATCTCAATGGTTCCCAAACGTTTTCAGGCCATCTCCACCGTTGGTCCCAGTGCCCCCTACCCTATAAAAAGTGTTACTCAGACTAACAGTTTGCATGACCCACCAAGGAAGATAATAACACAATAAAATTCAAAACAGTAACAATTAACTGCATTTATTCAAAATCCAATTAAAACTATTTAATTAATTCAACAAAGCTGGTGAACTTGATCGAGTGACACCAGCTTTTCAAAGTCTGAAAGTCATTTATACCTCTAGATCCCCCTTGCCTCTTAAAGAGTCTCCTTAGGTAATCCCATCGCTCCTGGAGAAAAAGCTTCTCGGCTTTGTGGGTGCAGAGAATAAGGAAGTAATAAAGCAGGCCTGAAACATTTCAAGTTTCTGGCTACAATTCTTTTAAATGCCACACTTCAGTGTTGTAGGTGACATTTTGCTCCCGGTCCAGGATGAGGCATAAACTTCCAATCTCTGCATGAAAAAGGTAGGGCAGAGATTGATTTGGGACTCTTGAGAAGATGATGCTGGAGTGTATGGACCACTGGCCTGATCCAGGAGGCTCTTCCAAAGTTCTTGACTCTTTATCCTGTAGATTTATAACAGCTGTTGTTTTTTTGTTACTAAGGGAATTCATTGTAGGCAAGTGGCAGGAATGAGACCAAAAGCACAGAGAGCTCTGGAAACACACTCTGAGCTAAGACAGGTGTACAGTGGTGCCCCGCAAGATGAATGCCTCGCAAGACGAAAAACCCGCTAGATGAAAGGGTTTTCCGTTTTTGAGTTGCTTCGCAAGACGATTTTCCCTATGGGCTTGCTTCGCAAGATGAAAACGTCTTGCGAGTCTTGCGATTTTTTCCCCGCTCCCCCCCCTTTTTCTAAGCCGCTAATAGCCTTTTAGCCACTAAGCCGCTAAGCCTTTAATAGCTGCTAAGCCGCTAAACCGCTAATAGCGCTAAGCTGCTAATAGGGTTGCTTCGCAAGACAAAAAAACCGCTAGACGAAGAGACTCGCGGAACGGATTATTTTCGTCTTGCGAGGCACCACTGTACATACTTGGAACCCCAAGAATGTGTTCCAGCCCCCTTTCAGGCAGACATCCAAGAACCCCTAACCTGCAGCAAGCCACAAAACAGGTGGTTTCCAACTGAAGCTCTGCAAGAGGCTGACTGTCTGGCCCCTGTGACAATCACTCAAGTAGCATCTGTTAGTATTGTGTTTTCCTTTGCATTGTGAGGTATGGGGAAATAGATCTTGATCTAGGACAATTGTTTATGGCAGCAACATGTAACATGCCCCCCAGATATCATTGGACTTCAGATGCTGCCAGGACGGCCAACAGTCATGGGTGTCAGAAGCTGGAGGGAAGGCAAGGGTATACGGATGAACACAGCTCTTCTTAAAGCCAAACCCTCTGTCCGTAATCATTTCTATTCCAGTCTTTGGTACCAAAGGTGGATTTGCTACATATTTTGCCACCTATGAACAGTCTCTGTCCTTCCAGCAACCACTTTGGAGAGTGAAAGGAAATCAAGAGGGCATGATTGTGACACCTTCTGTGCCAAGAGCACTCCCAGCCATCTTTACCACTTGATATTCAAGGTGGCGCTTGACTTCTCCACTGCGTGATACCCTGTGTGCAGGATGTCTCGAGTCTGTTCCGAAGCAGGACCACCCAGCCACTCCTTGTAGAGTGCCTGTACGGCTCCGTTCAGCTCTGGGTTTTCAGGCTGGACCGATTCGTACAGCCTCTCCACCCTCTGGAGAAGATCCTTGCTGGGCTCTCCTTCTGCTTTAATTTGGCCCCCTCCATTTAAGCAGCCTGGAAAGAAACGAGGGGGTGGGAAGAAAGTGGATCCCAGCAGAAAAGGCAAGAAGAATATAGGTGAGCTTTTAAGCTAAACCTGCATTCCCCAAGCTGGAACCCTGCAAATGCTTTGAACTAGAACTCCCATCAGCCCCAGGCACGCAAGGCCACAAGTTCAAAATGATCTTTGCAGGCTGGTGCCTGCTGGGAGCTCAAATCTGGAGGGAAGCAGGTTGAAGGAAGTACCTGAGTTAGCTAAGCTAGAGCTTCAATATTATCATCATCACCAAATGTATTGCTTGCCTTTCACCAGCAAGACCCAGGGCAGGCTACAACAATGAAAGACTAAAAATAGTTAAAACACATGATGGTCATAGGAAGAACAGCGTAGTCCCTGGAAACGCACATCTCAAGTGTCAAAGGTTGGGGTAAAGAAGTGTGTCTTCAGCATTCACTGAAACCAGTGAAGAAGCCAGGCACACCTCTGCAGGTAGGGGAATTCCGCAGCCTAGGGGCTGCCGCAGAGAAGGCCCTCTCACAGGTCACTCCCCTCTCAAATGTCTGAAGGAGATGGAGCAACCATGAGGGCCCCCTCTGCCGATATCAGCGCCTGAGAGGGTCTGTGAGGAAGGAGGTGGCATTTCAGATTATTTATTTATGCATTATATTTCTATACCACCCTTTCTCCAAGGATCACAGGGCTGTTTACAATATAAAAACACAAAAATACATAACTTTGTAACAAACAAAACAGCAACTTGCTTCTTTTTAACTGAAGGAGAGTCTCCACCCCCATCATTCAGCCCAGACACTGAGGTCCAGCTCCAAGGGCCTTCTGGCAGTTCCCTCACTGCGAGAAGTGAGGTTACAGGGAACCAGGCAGAGGGCCTTCTCAGTAGCAGCACCCACCCTGTGGAACGCTCTCCCATCAGATGTCCCATCAGACAACTATCTGACTTTCAGAAAACATCTGAAGGCAGCCCTGTATAGGGAAGTTTTCAATGTTTGATGTTTTATTGTATTTTTAATATTTTGTTGGAAGCCGCCCAGAGTGGCTGGGGAAACCCAGCCAGATGGGCGGGGTATAAATAAAATTTATTATTATTATTATTATTATTATTTATTAACTGGCAGGAATGAAAGGGAGAATTCTTAGGATGTTGCCAGAGAGCTCCAAGCAACATATGCAGCGTTTTTTTATCCCCCCTGCCGTTTCCAACCTGCAGGTGGCCTCACCTGAAGGACAAGCCATCACCTCGATGTAGTGATACGGCAGCTTCCCCCGCTTCAGTTTCTGCACCAAGTTCTGGATGTTCCGAAATCCGTATGCCAGGGCAAAATGCAAGAGGGTTTTGCCATCCTTCTCCAGCGTCACTTCCTGTAAGTCCTTGTTTCTGGGAAAGATTTAAAAGGGGTCAGGGAGGAACCAGAGATTTGCTACTGCAAAACATGGTCTCTTCAGACACGCTCCCAAGCCACTATCCCAGCTGCTCAGAGCGGAAACTGGCAGCAACGGAACATGGACGAACAGTACAACTTTGGTGGGCAAGTCAGCCTGGTTGGAAAATGAATGCTTCCTCCCAGGCCATAGCTTTCTTGCACCTTCCACGGCTGCTTGCAATGGCTGCTGGCTCTTTAGCCAGCGAGGGAGGCTGGAGCAAGGGACAAGCAGCAGCAAAGCAGCAGCACTCCCAATACTTCCTTACTAGAAGAGAGTGCAGGCTGGGGAAATTGGGCTGGGCTAGGATCCTTGGTAAGAGCTCCAGGCGGTAATGCAATATCCTTACTTCAGTGCCTTATAGCGAACCTCTTCCACTTGAATACCGAAGAGATCCCTTGCGGCATATTTATAGATGTGCTCCAGGTAGCCCCCAGAACCGCCTCCAGAGTGCCCGAGCAACTGCTCCTCTTCAGACACACCACTAAACCTATGGAAGGGAGAAAAGAAACAGCGTCGGGCACCATGCAAAACTCGAAATGCCCAGCTGCATGCCGATAAAGGCCAAATCCTGATTAAAGTTCTGCAAATTGAGCACATGTGAAAGAAGCAAGCCGGATGGAAGTGTAGCAAAGTTAAGTGACTTCGGATCTTACATGCTATCCAAAGGGGCAGGATTCACTTCTGATAGGGTTACCTTCTCCTGGCCCAGCAACTTCACAACTTCTCCTGAAAGACAGAACAAATGCAAGGGAGTTTGCATTCTGGATGGAAGGGAGGCAGGAAGCAGAGAGGAGTCACCAGGCAATGAATTAATCCTCTCTCCAGTTCAGGGATGGGGAACCTCAAGCCTAGGGACTGAGTGCGGCCCTCCAAGCTTCTCCATTTGGCCCCCAGGACACTCCCCAAACCAGCTCCAATCAGCTCCCCTACTCAAGAACTTTTGCTTGGCTGGAATATGTCCTTGAAATGGCATAATCCCTCTGGCTCGCCAGGATGGAGTGATGCGGGAGGCTGTATGTGTAGAAACCTCTGGCAGGATGAGGGCTGGGCTCTATTAACTCAAATGGGGCAGGGTGGAAGTAGTGGCTAGTGAATGGGAAGTTGCACCTCAAGCCAAGGGAGCAGGCAAGGGAATTTTCAAGGTGTTCCTAACTCAAACACTGATTCCTGGCTCCACTTTACCTGTAGTAATCACACAGTCAACCTCACGGGTCTGGTGCTCTTGGATAAAGAAGTCAGGTCTGGAAGCTTCTAACTTCTTGTCGTAACAAGGCATCACTGTCACGTGGTAGATCTGGTCAGGTGTCAAGTGCTATAAATGGGGAAGAGATTGGGATACCTGATCAGCAAAAACTAGTCCCGATTTCATGTTTCTGACAGTGGCACCAGTAGGGCACCACAAAAGACACACAAGCAAAGAATGAAGGCAATAACCACTTCCAGTTTGTTTGGTTTTTGGCCCTGGTAGTGACATTCAGAGGTGTAAAACCTCCATCTAGCAACCATTAACTAGTAGCACCCTTTGCAAATTTGTCCAAACCAGCCTTTGCCAACCATTTGGTGCCCTCCAGATGTTCAGGACTACAACTCCCATCAGCCACAATGGCACTGGCAGTGGATGATGGGAGTTGTAGTCCAAAACATCTGGAGGGATCCAGGATTGGGCAAAGGCTGGTCTAAACCCAGAGAAGTGAGAGTAGGTCATTCCATAGGGTAATAACAATTCTGGGTGGCTTGAGATGGTTGCCCTTAAGAAGAAAACAACAGCAGCAGCAACAACATCACTGCCCTAGCATGGAAAGGGTCTGAGCTCCCCTTTCTGCAAAAGATTGTTTGGGTGAGTGGGTGATCCCTTTTCTGGCTCTCTGCAGAGGCGATCTGATGGGGAGGTCACAAACTGAAGCCCAGCTGCTGCTCCCAGACTTTCTAGGACACCAGTTCCCCTGCGAAAAGTGCCTGCCACGGAACACACACTTGCTGTTTGGCAAAGTGCCTCTTGACGAGGGAGCCCATCACTTGCTGGGGAGACTTGGCCGTGCTGACATGAGGGATGATGAAACTCCCGTGGGTTTTTTCGGCATAACAGATCCAGCCTGAAAGAGGAAGAAGAACCAACATCCTTAAGTCGCAAATCCGCCTCCAGGCTCCAAAGGCAGCATCCACCCCCATCCCACTCTCCTCTAGCTGGCCTACTGGAAGGGAGGCCAAGGGATTAAAAGGAAAAGCTGCTCAACAATGTTTGTGTTGCCAGGGAGAGAGCTGGACTAGAAAAAGGACTAGAAACCCAAAAAGGGAATGGAATTGCAACAGCATGCAACCGGCTGTAAAGAAATATTGGAATGTCCTATTTATAGTCCACAGCAGGAGCAGGGAGCCTCAGGCCCAGAGGCCAAATGTGGCCCTCCAGACCTCTCTATTTGGCCCTTGACCTGCTTCACCAGCTCAGCTTTGCACCCTCTCTGAATGTTTCTGCTTGGCTGGAATGTGCCCTTGTACTCTGATAGCGACTCTTGCTTGCCTGAAAAGGCTAGAGAAGGGTATGTGAGTGGGAGCGGAGAGGAAGCCTACTGCTTAAAGGAAAAATTCACATTCATTGCTCCACCCTCTTTTCCATCCATCGCTGTCTTAAAATCTGAGGTTCCTGGATGATGGGTAGCACCAGTTGCAGGGCCCGCACCCCACTCTCTCCCCCCACAACAGCCTTACCTGGGCAGGCAGCAGCCAACATAGGCAAAGCCTTCTTGTCTTCCTTTTGCCTCCGGAAGCGCTGCACAAACTCACGCTGGCTCTCCAGCAGGCTGAAGTTCCTTGAGAAAGTTGTGTCAAAGACATAATGCACCCCTGAGACAGGGAAGGAAGAGAGGTTAGGTGTTAAGGAAACCACATTTGTGGAGTGGTGGGGGCTTCCTGAAGCTTTCTATACAGGTGTCATTGGACCAATGATCCAACTCTGTGCAAGGTAGCTTCCTTTGTTCCAAATGTCTTAAGCAAAGGGCTACAGCTCAATGGCAGAGGGCCTGCTTTGCATGCAGAAGGTCTCAGGTTCAATCCTCAGCATCTCTAGGTAGGGCTGACCCTTGTCTGAAACCTTGAAGAGCTGCTGTCAGTCAGTGTAGACAATACTAGCTGGATTGGTGGGCTGTTCCTAAGCCGTGTCAACTCAACACCCTCTGCAACAAGGGTGAACAAAACCATCCAAGTGATAGGCAGTTTGGTCAGTTTTTTTATCTTCCTCCTGCATATTTTTTAAAAATATATTTTTGTAAATGTAACAGAAGAGAAAAGGAAACGTCATCAGCCAACAATACGTCCCAACTTAATTAATATGGGCAATCCGTTCGAACAGACATCTAAATGAGAATGACGTTAAAAAGCTATTTGTTAAAAGGGTGAAAAGGCAGCAAGATCTTCAGCCCATGTGTAGTTTTATCCTTCCAGCCTCATGGCAGAAATGTGATGCTCAGGAACACAGGAATCCATTTCATCCCAAGTGTGTTTAATTACTAAATCATCAAGCTACATACTTCAGAAGAGACACTGCTGCTCACCTAAACTTTTAAAGAAAGACACCAGTTTCTTGGCTGTGTCTAAAGGAGTCAGTGAAAACTTTGCCGCCAGCGAAGCTCGGGACTGGGGAGATACGGACACCACCACCAGCTTCTGGGAAGCAGAACCTGACGTCTTAAGAAAAACAAACAAGCATCAACATGGAATTCATATTTGCTGGAGTATTTACCTTTTCTATCTTGAGGTACCTTGAGCCTTTCTGTAGCTAGCATGAAATGGTTGGATTCTTTTTTAAAATATATATGTTGAGAATCTGGTTCCTAATGCAATGAGAAGCGGAAGACAAACGCAAAACTACCAGCAGCTTTATAACAGGTCTAGATAATTTGCTCTGAAGCCAACCAGAATGCAAACAGCTTGCTAACATTGCTCCTGGCAATGGAAGAAAATCCAGCCTACTCAGTGGGAATGGGCTGTAACTCAAGGGCAGAGCAACTGCCTTGCATGCAGAAGGCAAGGCTTAGAAATTCCCTTGATGGAAACACTGGAGAGCCACTGCCAGTCAGTGTAGATGGACCAATGGTCTGGCTTTCTGTATAAAGCAGCTTCCTACCTTTATGTCCCTAGACCAGACCCCTATAGCTGCCTTCTCCTGCACAAGTGGGCAAGAAAGAGCTCATCTTCCAGGTCCTCAGGCCCTATGACTCACATGCTGACAGCATCAACAACTTACTTTATTGGTATTTAAGACCCTGAGGAGTTCCTCGTGGCTCTGCTGTGTGATTAAGACACTCTCCGCAGACGTGATGCAGCCGCTACATGCCAAGCAGTCATTGAGGGTGATTTTGGCCTTCTCAAGCTTTTGTGACCCTCCGTCCTGAAAGGGAGAGTTGGTCAGAGGGGATTGGAGATCAGCTTCCAAGCGTTCCTGAAAAGTACTTCCAGCTTTCACTAGCGGTCATTCAGGGGTTACCTCCCCACCATCTGACGATGATGTTGGAGATTTTATAAATAAAAGCTTCACAGAGGGGCCCAAGGACTGTAACAAGTTTTGGCTCCAGACTGTAGGGCCAAACATGAGAGATTCGCAGTCCAAAGAGAAGAGGGGAGTAATTGCTCTTTTGAGAGCATCCATTAACCAGGACAATTTTCTTGACTACAACTGAAAAGGTTCTCCTTCCTGGAGGGCTGTTACCCAACTCCGCAACTAACTCCCTTTCCAAGAGGCTTCTGAACTCCTAGCTGGGGTTGCAGAGCTGTAACAGCTGATCCCCAAACTTATTTTGTATCTCTTATGACAAAGATTTAGCTTACTGTATAAGAGGCACAGCAATGGAATCACCCGCTTTCATCTCTGGCCCTGCCCACCACTGCCACGTGGCCCCCAGAAGCTTGATGGTGGAATGCAAAAACACACAGCTTAAAAAAAGCTTCCCCACCCCATCTTATGATGTGATCAAACTGAGGAGGGGAAACTTTACCTTGTCAACTTGAATGTAAGTCCCATCATCTTCAATGTGGATTTTTGCTGCTGCTTTCCCAAGCTTCTTCTCAACTTTGATGGGTTTTATGCAATCCTGAAAGGAAAGCGAACTACTGAAAATAAAACACCAAAACACACACACCACAATCCATACTTCAGGAAGAAGCAGCAGTGTTTCCTCCTAGACTCCCACTGGACAGTTCAGAAATTCCTGCATCAGGCACTGACAATCTGGTTGGTAATGCCAAGTTTATTCCCCACCCCGTCACACACACACACACACACACACACACACACACACACCATGGTTAGGATAAAACAACTTACCCCTTACAGGATCACTGTGAGGTTTGCCAGGAGAAAGAATGGATGCACTTTACTTTGGACACTTTACATTTTTCATTACACTTAAAACCAGTCCTGTCTTCAATTTGCTGAGGCCAGAACCTTTGATTCCTTCCTTCCCATGACAACCCTGACCAGACTAAGGCCACCCAATGAGTCTCCAATGGCTGAGAAGGGATTTGAACCCAGGGACGCGGGTGGCGCTGTGGGTTAAACCACAGAGCCTAGGGCTTGCTGATCAGAAGGTCGGCGGTTCGAATCCCCGCAACAGGGTGAGCTCCCTTTGCTCGGTCCCTGCTCCTCCTAGCAGTTCGAAAACACGTCAAAGTGCAAGTAGATAAATAGGTACTGCTCCGGCGGGAAGGTAAACGGTGTTGCCGTGCGCTGCTCTGGTTCGCCAGAAGCGGCTTAGTCATGCTGGCCACATGACCCGGAAGCTGTACAACGGCTCCCTTGGCCAATAAAGCGAGATGAGCGCCGCAACTCCAGAGTCGGTCACGACTGGACCTAATGGTCAGGGGTCCCTTTACCTTCCCTAACCTGACCCTCTAATCATGACACCACCCTGGCCCCACATATTGGGGCCGCTCACTCTGAGCCTCGGCAATGGGCGCGCATGCCTGTGCTGCTCCTGCTGGCCTACCTCACATGGTTGTTGTAAGGTTTGCAAAGAATACGACACTGAAGCGGCCCCAAATGCCTGTATCCTTCTCGTTCTCCTGCCTCCACTTTCTCTCTTCCACCTCCCCCGCCCCACTCACTTGCGAGGGCCCGATATAGTCGTCCAGGTCCGTCAACTGCAGGACTCCGCTGAAGGGCGACACAGTCGTAGCCATCTTCGCATATCCCTTCCCCGCCACACTGCCGTAAAGCTCCGACGAGGAAGTATATGCGCGTACAACACTGCCTGATAAGCGATTTCCGCCACACTGTCGCAAACGACCAAGGCGAGAGAGAGAGAGAGAGAGAGAGAGAGAGAGAGAGAGAGAGAGAGAGAGAGAGAGAGAGGAACGCGTAGATAAATAATGTAGAGTAGCCCCCTCACCTCCTGAATGAGGGCTCCCGGATGTTACCTTGGCATCCGTGTTTTCTAGGTTTTTTGCCCGCAGAAATAGACGGGGAAACCAACTGATTTAATCTAGACATGGTTTTCAGCAACCTGCCTATTGATTTCTATGGCTATTTCATACTTATTCACTCGGGGAGGGAGGTGGAGAGAAACCCGGGAGTTAAGCCCTATATGTCAATCTACATTAAGTCTATAAAGGAAGAAAAGGGAACTTCCAAAGAGTTAGAGGTAGAGTGCTCAAAGTAATCTTCACTTCAGGTTCCCGATGGCAGCGGGGCAAAAGCCAGTGAAATAATCCACCTGAAAGCTTAAACCAAATAAGGCGCGAAGAACCTGCAATGAGGGGATGAGCCTTTCGTGCAGAGGTTAGAGTGAAGGACCTGGATGGCCAGGGTTCAAATCCCTACCCTGCCACAATGAACCTCAGGAGGGTGACCTTGGTTCAGTCAATCACTATCAGCCTAACTTACCTCACAGGCTTGTGTTGAGGATAAAATGAGGAGAACTTCATAGGATGCCATCTTGAGCTCCTTGGAGGAAAGGTGGAATATAAATGAAATAATAATCCTTCTGAGTTCTGGATGGTGGTTGCTGGAAACCACAGGAGGGGAGAGTGCTCTTGAGCTCAGGTCCTGCTTGCAAATTCCTCACTGGGCATCTGGATGGCCATTGTGGATGCAGGACTAGATGGACCCCACTGACTTGATGCATAAAACTCTGGGTGTCACAAACAAAAAACTAACTAACATACATCCTATCCTTTCCTCCTCATTTCATGGCTCCCATATTGACTTTTGGGATAAAACTCTGAGCTTTTTATTAAAAAAAATCTGTAATCATGTGCATCGAAAACTGGGTTATGTCTGCTTCAGTTACCCAGTGCATAAGAAGTTCATAAGCTCTCTGCCTTGTTGTTGTTGTTGTCTTGGGGGAGTGGGGGCTACCTGCGATCCCAGCCCTGGGATCCTCTCACAAGATATTGCAGAGACATCTGAGCATCTCAGAGCTGGTGCTCCAAACAGGCCTTGAGAACCTTCACTCCTGGCTTAGATTATGAGTCCCTTGGGGACAGATATTTGCATGTGGACAAACTGCTTCAAGTCATAACTCATAAATTGAAATAATAATAATAATACCCACTCAAAGCCTACAGGACTTGGAATCTTGGAAAGTGAATGTTTGGGCCTAAAAAGAAGCCCAGTGTTTGGGCAGCTCTAATAGCAGCTCTAAGCTTAAGGAAAGTGCAGAAAATGCAATAAAATTACTCTGGAGGATGCCAAATCCAGCTAAAATACCCTTTTTATTAAATAGGCTGCAGCTAATAGGAACATGCTGTACAGCTGCCACATTGTGTTTTCAAAACCTCTGGCTTGTCCCTCGAGTATGTTTCTGAGCATATTCAAAGTGCTTTTCCCTGAGCATAACACAAATGGTTTCTGTTAATGCCTAAAGCAAGGTTGGGGATCATCTGTGACCCTCCAGAAGTTGCTGGACTACAACTCCCATCGTCCCTGGCCATTGGCTGTGCTGGCTGCTCATACTATGATCCAGTTTTGGGGCAGAACTAGATAGCAAATTTTAAACAACAGCTTTGCTGCGTGTGTCAAACTGATCAGGCTCGAGAAACACAGCCAGCCCCAAGTCTTTTCTTTGCAATGGGAATAGCAGGATAAACAACCAGGCCATAAATTGAGGTCTTCCTTTGCAAGGGAATAAACAAATAACCAGACCAAAAATAAAAGTTAAAAGCTTTATTTCCTTTAAATGTGTTACACCGCATAAGATGTTATTTTCCTTGTGGAGTTTGTGGACTCATCCACATTTTCCTTTGCTCCATATTACTAGGTGCAGTTTGGGATTTCTAGGTCCACGTCTGAGCACTTTTCTTTCCCTCTTACTGATTTCTCCGTGAAAACATGCTCTTTACCGCTGAATCGGAGGAAATGGCAATCCGGGGGGAAACCAAACTGCCATTTGTTCCGATTCAGTGCTAAAGAGTGGGTTTTCCTGGGTGAAGTGGCGGGGCAGGGGGAGCTCTGGGGCACAGACTGGGAAAGTGCAGGCCTGAGCCTAGAAAGTGCAAGGCAAAAGGTGTGTGTGGCTGAGCCCTGACTCTGGGCGAAAGGGAAACAGAGGTTGGAGTGAGGATATTAACCTGCTTAGCACACGACCTCTGAATTCATGAACATTGAATATATCAGACCCTCCAAGTGTCCCTATTTTCCAGAGACAGTCCCAGATTTACAGAAGCCATCTTGGTTTCTGATTTGATCCTAGAATGTCCCACTTTCCCTTAGGACATCCCTATTTTCATTGGAGGAATGTTGGAGGGTATGGAGTTATGCAACCCCCTGAGTCCCCTGAAAGCAGCCCTGTACAGGGAAGTTTTTGTAATGTTTAATGTTTTATTATGATTTTTTATATGTTGGAAGCCTCCCAGAGTGGCAGGGGCAGGGTATAAATAAAAAATAATAATAATTGTTTTCATTTTATCATGATGATGCTGATGATGCTGGAATAGGATGTTCCTATTTTCATCAGAGAAATGTTGGAGGGTATGATAAATTCACACACAAGTATGCCAAGGATCCAAGCTAAGAATCATTTAGAGAATGAAAGGTGAGTGCATTCCCCAAGACACCAGCAAGTGAGAGTGCTGAAAATCCTTCATTAGATAACCACCTAATTTTGGAAGGGATTTGTGGAAGGAGCATGGCTCACTTTACATGCAGAAGGTCTCAAGTTCAATCTCTGGTATTTCTTGGGAGGAGTGGGAGATATTCCCTGCCTGAAGCTCTGGAGAGCTGCTGCCAATCAGTGCTGGCAGTACTAAGCTAGCTCCGACTCAGTATAAGGCAGCTTCCTATGTATCACATCAATTGTGTCTACATGCCTAATAAGGTTCTGCAATTGGCCATTGAATATCCACATTAAATCACCGTGTATTGATCTCAAAAGCACAAAGGACCCAGCTTTTTATTACCTGCACAAAGTTTGCGAGTGGACTGAACTCTTTAAGGGGTGGAGGCGGAGTTTGGAGGGTGGAAAAACACAATGGTTGGTGAGACACCAAGAAACATCCAGCTGCTTTTCCAAACTCAGATGTACAGAAATAAGGAATGTTTACTAAGAAATATTAAATATTTTGCAAAACATTGTGGAAAGCAAGGTTGGATTATAGGAAAACAGTTGTAAGAAAGTAAGGGAGGACAAGGGAGGTGGGAAACAGGATTGGATGGGTCCATGCATATGAAGGGGCACCTCCATAGATGTCCCCTGTGGTGTTTCCAAGGATGTGAGTTGCAGCACCACCAGTGTAGTTACCTGTTGCACCAGTAGGAATGGGAATTGCAGAACCACCATTGCCGTTGCCTGTTGTGCCACCGGGGATGTCGGTTGCAGAACCAGCAGGAATGTAGCCTGTTGCTGCTCTTGGGGTGTGAGTTACAGAACCACCTGTGAGACTACCTGTTGCACCACCAGGAATATCAAATTCAGAGACAGGAGGAATTTTGCCTGTTGCACTTCCAAGAATTTGAGTTGCTGCATCCCCAGGAATATGAGTCAAATCACCACCAGAGACATCCTCTGTTGCGCTACCAGGGATTTGGGTGACATCCCCACCATTGATGTCTGGAGTTGCACCACCAGGGAGGTCAATTGCAGAGCCATTGGGGATGTTGCCTGTAGTGCCACTAGGGATGTCAGATGCAGCAGCACCACGCATGTTGCCCGTTGCTGTAACAGGGATCTGAGTTGCATCACCACCACTGATGGTTCCTGTTGTGTGATGAGGGATTTGAGTTGCAGAACTACCAGGGATGCTGTTTGTGACACCACCAGTTATGTTGGTTGCGGAACCACCAGTGATGTTGCCTGTTGCTCCACCAAAGATTGATGGAGCACCATGAGGGATGTTGCTTGTTGCTGGACCATGGATGTTGCCTGTTGCATCACCAGTGATGCCATGTGCAGAAGCACCAGCAGTGTTTCCTGTTACGCCATGAGGTATCCCTGTTGCAAAATCATCATCAGTGTTGCCTCCCGTGTCTACAGAGTTGTGATTTGCAGAACCTCCAGAGATATTGCCTGTTGCACCACTGGGGATGTCAGTTGCAGAACCACCAGTGAAGTTGCCTCCTATTTCTCCAGGGATGTGTGTTGTAGGACTACCAGGAATGTTGCCTGTTGCACCACCAGCAGTGCCAATTGCAGAACCACCAACAGTGTAGCTCCTTGTTGTTTTGCCTACAGAGACGTAAGTTTCAGAACCACCAGCGATGCTGTCTGTTCCCTCTGCAAGGATGACAGTTGCAGAACCACCAGGAATGTTGCCTGTTGCACCAACAGTAATGCCACTTGCAGAACCATCAAGGATATTGTTTGTTGTGCCACCAGGGATGAACGTTGGAGCAGCATGTGGTATGTTGCCTGTTGCTGCGATTCCAGTGTCCGTTGCAACACCATCAGGGATGTGACCTGTAGCACCAAGAGTGATGTCAGTTGCAGAACCACCATCAATGTTGCCCGCTGCGCCTACAGAGTTGTAAGCTGCTGAACCCCCAATTTCTGTTGAAACACCAGCAGCATTGCTTCTTGTGCCTATAGAGACGGGAGTTAAAGAACCATCAGTGCTGCTGCCTGTTGCCTCTCCAAGGATGCCAGTTGTGAATCCACCAGGAATGTTTCTTGTTGCACCACTAATAATATCAGCTGCAGAACCATCAGCACTGCTGCCTGTTGTACCTACAGAGATGTGAGTTGCAGAACCACCAAGGATGTTAGTTGCAGGGATGTTGTCTGTTGCTGCACCAGCGACGTCAGTTACATAA